ACATGAGCCACCACTCCTGGCCTTCCTGTGCTTTTTGTCTTTATCATGTCCTAGATTATTTAAGAGAACCAAGTTTTCTAAATGTTAAAAGAACTAAGTTTTGTTTCTCTTTTTGTTTCTTACAATTGTGTTACTCCCCGTATTTACTTTTGAAATCTCTTGGTATCATATACGTTAAATAAATAGCTAAGAATTATTTCACAGTGACCTGTAATGTTGGTTAATCAAGTATTCAAATCTTTTGACATTTCTGATAACTTTTGGTATTTTGCCTTTCCAAAGCCAAATCCTAAATAAAATCCTGGTCTTGAACTGACTGAAGTTTCCCAGAGAGACCCTTGAAAATCTCAAAGGATTTGTTCTTACCTATAAAAAGATATGCTAAACTAATTAGGTTTATTTGATATGTTGAATTCTATGGAAAGCATTGCCAAATAAAAAGAGATGTTTAACTGTCCTTAGGTTACATTTGTATAGGTAAATGTTATGAATATAAATATTTCGTGAATTATATAAAGTTCCTAGAAATTTGTCAATGCCCTTGTTGGCATGATACATCTTTATGCTTCTTTGTCTGATGGTAGACAACAATGACAAAACATTATCAGTTATCATTTTGTTATTATTTTAATGTTTCATGCTACAGAAACAACAAAACTGCCTTGTCAACTGTGTCACAGTGAACTTTCAGCCCATCTTTAACTATGACTATTTTCAGATAGTAATTGTTATCTGATGTTTTTCTGAAAACTCTTGCAATCAGCTACTAGCAAGAACGCTTATTTTCAACATAAACAGATTGTCTCTGAGATCCGTGGAAAGGACTATGACAGATACTCTGGAGTACAGGCTTCTGGTGACGTTGCTTAAATAATTGAGATCATACCATTGGACTGAGTAAGGATTGCCAGAACTCTAGTGGAGCAGCTAATGGGTTCATTAACTGCTAACTCAATCAAGCAGAACAAGACTGAATTACATAGGACTGAATGATAAATGATTATAATTTGTATCATTTTTTGTTTAGAACATTGCTAGTTTTTCAATCAATGTTCTGTTTTTCAGAAACAAGGAACCCCTTTCTCTTTTCTCCTAAGCTATCTATTACTCACAATAATTTGGTAGATTTATACCTTTGTAAACAAAAATGAAATATATCCTTTTCCTCTCTAGTTGATTCCTCCAGAATTCAGAAGCTCTTATTGAATATTCTTATTTTCATAGCATTATAGCTATTTGCATAAGTTGAATAAGAATCTGTTCTGCTTTTAACAGGACATAATTGGGAAACTTGGTTATGAAACCGCCTTTGCAAAAATGATAACAGTGAGAAAATAATGACAGTGGAGGAGATCGGATCTAGCCAACCTCCCTCTTGCCTTTAGCATTTAAGCTGCCAAGCTAGCTTTGGGAGACATTTAGCTTATAGTTTAAATGATAGTAGCCCTTCCCCAAACTTCAAATGCCTTTCTAAAGAGACCACAAGGCTAGGAGGAGGAAAAGGAGCCTGAATTCTGCTAAGGTATAGACATAAATGGTTGCCAGCTGTTATTCTAGAGGTCACAATTTATGCAGCTTCTCCAGTTATTCCTGCAGATAACATCACTATGGTAGAACCTAAGATTAGCCTTTTGAGACAGCTTTTCATGTTTTTTGCATGTCTGACACCCATGGCTCCACCTGGAGCTGCCAGCCCCTCCTGTGTCCCCACCCATAATCAACTCAGCATAAGAGGACAGCTTCAACTCCCTATGATTTCATCTCCAACCCAACCATCAGCAGCAGCTAGCACCCACTGCCTAGCCACCCCGACTCCTTCCTCCAAATTGGCTTTGAAAACCCCCTAACCTACAAGCCTTTGATGAGACTGATTTGAGCAATAACTCAGTCTCTTGTGTGGCACGGCCAGCCTCATGTCAATTAAACGCTTTCTTTACTCAATTCCGTGAATTGATGTTGTTTGTGCAGAAGGCAGGAAGAACCCATCAGGCAGTTACAGTTATATTACCAAGCCTTTGCAGAATGTCATATTTGTGAATTGTGTGGAACCTGATATGACTAAACAGTTTTAAGGAACCAAGATTGACTTTATGCAGCCAGTGTTTTCAAAGCCCTCTTGGAAAAACTGATCCGATAACTGCATTACAGAATTCTCAGCCTTACGGGTGAGTAAAAAGGTCACTTCCTAGGAAACTTAGAATATTTGGGAGACTTCAAGGAGAAAGGAATTCACCCAAATCTATAAGTATTGCAGATGAAATCTGATGACAAGTTCTTGGCTTGACTTCTAGCATCAAGAAACTTTTAAAATTCCAATCTGAGATTCCTTATAAGAGTTCCGGCAATGCAAACTTTGAAAAGCCCTAAATGGTCAATTACCATCTTGCCGTGCTTGTGCAAATGATCAGACCAAATTAAATGAGACTAATTTTGTAACCAAAAGTAGTCTTACTTTGATTATCTTTGGTCAAAGTGCAGGTGATTGTAGAGAGAAATTTTATGTTTTGATGAAAAACTATAACCCCCCCTTGTGAGTGATCAGATTCTAGTCCTGTTCATGACCTTTGAGATATTTTTCACCTCTTGGTAAACTAGATCCTACTGTCTTGCCCATTTGGCCAGTAATTAACACAACTTTTCTCCTACCCACCTGACATGGCATCACTGAGAACTAAACCCTAACTTCCTAGATCATTATTAAGACTCTGGGTTATTTTCTTACAAAGCCCTAAAAGCTGAAGTGGGATAATATGATATAAAAATCAAAGGACTTATTGCTACAACAGTTTGGTCCACTCTGGAAGTTCACCAAACACTCATCTCCTTCTCTGCTGTGCTCTGGAAAATAACCGTAACTGTGACACTGATGTTCTCACTCTACCATCTAAACATGCTTCAAGACCAACATCTAGACATCTTCTCAACTGCCTGCCCTCCATACTCAAAACCTAGATTTATAATCTATCCCAACCATTAATCTGTGCTTTTCTGGTTCCTCATTCTATGCTCTTGTTCCCCTCTGCAGATCTCTTACCTCACAATTTCTAACCCAAATCTTCCCTCTATAGCAATCAACCTAGCTTCTTTCATGTATGTTGAAACTTCAAGGGAAGTTTCAGATGAGGGAAATGTTATCCACTGAAACCCTAGAGTTGGTATAAAGATTATTTTAAAGTGAAAACATTTAAGCTAAAGAAGATGCAAAAAGAAATCTTATCTGAACTTCCATTATGTGATTCAAGCAGAGTCTCCAGAGAATACCTTTCTGTTATCCCCCTCCAAAGGAGTTTCCTATGAATTCAGCTGCTGTGGAGATAGCCCAGTTCTTGCCCAGCTCCCATGGCATTAAAAAACCCAATGGAACTTCTATACCTTCTCACTGAAGCCCTTAAGTAAACCGTTTGTTAAGTTTGATATAAATCTTGTATCTCTGGCTAATCAGGAAGTAATTTATTACTGAGATCTCCCACATGTACTCATAAATAAACTTTGTCTTCTCTCCAGTTAAACTATTATCAGTTAATTTGCAGGCCCCAAAACATCTGCACCTAAGTTGGAATAAGAAAAGTTTTTCTCTCAACATAATCATTTCTTCTCATTTTCCAGAAGCATGTCACATCAATCCTTCGCTATTCCAAGAGACATAATAACAGAAAACATATCAACACAGGCAAAGAATGTCAGTAAATGGGAAATTTCCATTAGGCAAAAATTCAATTTTCTAAGTGAGTCAGTAGGTGGCACCAAAGAAGAAAGAAGTACATCTCCATAAATGCACAGATCACTCTGAGTCCTAAAAATCCAATAAAAGTTACCCCTATAGATGGTCTGTGCTCTGTTTTATCCTTAAATGTCCTACTTTAGCACAGGTTTCTACTGAAAACTGCCTCAAGATCTCTTTGAAAGGAAATAAAAAATCACAAATGAAAATAAAACTGAAAATACTTGGAAAAAAACTTTCACGTATTACTGCCAAAACCTGATTCTGGACATCCACCTTTCTGGGTTAGACGCAAATTATATCATATTCAAAAAATATGGGTTGCTCACAGCAGCTTATGCCTGTATAATCCCAGCACTTTGGGAGGCTGAGGCAGAAGGATCGCTGGAGGCCAAGAGTCTGAGACCAGCCTGAGCAACACAGAGAGACCCCCATCTCTACCAAAACAATTTTTTAATTAGATGTATGTAGTGATACATGCCTATAGTCTCTGAGGTGAGAGGATCTCTTGAGCCCAGGAGTTCAAGGCTGCAGTGAGTATGACTATGCCACTGCAGTCCAGCCTGGGTGACAAAGTGAGACCCTGTCTTAAAAAGAAGAAAAGGAGAAAAGAAACATGGGATCTTCTCAGATGTGATCCACTGAGGCAGAAGCAAGAGGATCAGCATAGAGAAATCTGTTCTTAAGCGAGAGGAATAGGTGCATTTTGTCTCACCCTGAAACTTTTTGGCATTTCAAATGGCAGGGCAGGGACTTCTATCATTCATCTGTAGATACATACATTATTAAAAAAAGAAAAAAAGACATTTCCCCTAGTTGAATGGTAATCTTTCCCAAGATTCTAAGCCAAAAGGGGACTGAGCTCTAGTAACCTCATAGAAAGGTTTTGTTGTTGTTTTCTTAATAAAAATATTTAGCTTCCCAGCTACTCCAGAGGCTGAGGCAGGAGGATCACTTGAGCCCAGGAGTTCAAGGCAGCCAGCCTGGGCAACATAGCAAGATCCCACTTCAAAAAAAAATCAGCAATGTCGAGAAAGAATAGTCCCTTAAATTCTTAAAGATACCTCACAAATGCATCTTGCCATTCTTCCTCATCCCAAATCAACATCGAAGCAGCACATCACCCAAGATATAGTTACCAAATTCATTTAGCTATATTAATTAAAATAAGGAGAGATGTTCCTCCTCTGCAGACACTGATAATACCTGCATGGCTAAGGCAGCACTTCTCCCCAAGTCCTCCTCTCTAACAAGGTGTGAGCTGTAGGCCTCCACTTACCCTGGCAAATTCCATGGGTTTAGGAAGAAGGCACATGACCATGACATCGAAGCGAACATCACATACTGTCTTCAGCCACTTGGTGACAAACTGAGGCTTCAGCTTTTCCACCAGACTTCCCACTTCATCATCCATCATATATGCAGTGGAGTGAAACCACTGAAACACCATGGCCACCAGCCGGGCCAAGCTTTCTGTAGGCGTGTTTTCACTGGGTGTGCAGAGGCTCACCTAGAAGTATGTAGATTAGAATCTTGTTCAGTTTCCATCTGTCTTTACAAAATTATAACAGGTGCATTAAAATAAAATAAAATAAAATAAAAAGATATCCCAGATAATCCGTTTGAAATATGCAGTCTTAAAAACAGGGATCGCTTATCCAGAAACTGTGTTCCTTCCTACAGGTATAGATGGATTGCAACAACCATTTTCCCTCAAGATTTCACCTTCCAATTAAGCATTTTCTCCTACAAGAAATCCATTATATAATCTGCGCCAAATAAATGCTTCTCAAAAGTTAGGTCAACAAAATATTTCATCCATATCCTCAAGGAAAATAATGTATATACATTTCACTTCTAAAATGATCATATTTCACTAAGAATTTTGTTTTAGTAATAATTCAGATACCTTGGAGTCCCCCAATTCACTATCATAAATAGACTTTTTATTTTTATTTTTATTTTTATTTTTATTTTGAGACAGAGTCTTGCTCTGTCACCGAGGCTGGAGTGCAGTGGCGCGATCTTGGCTCACTGCAAGCTCCGCCTCCCCGGGTTCACACCATTCTCCTGCCTCAGCCTCCCGAGTAGCTGGGACTACAGGCACCCGCCACCACACCCGGCTAATATTTTCTATTGTTAGTAGAGACGGGGTTTCACTGTGTTAGCCAGGATGGTCTCAATCTCCTGACCTCGTGATCTGCCTGTGTCAGCCTCCCAAAATGCTGGGATTACAAGCGTAAGCCACCACGCCCAGCCCATAAATAGACTTTTTAAAACATCATTCATTCATTTACTATGAACTAATCTTTTATTGAGTACTATGGCAGGGTCCAGGAATAAAATAAATAAATAAAGCATGGTCTTTGCCTTCAAAGAGTTCACAGTAGTAGCTATTGTGTCATTATATAATAACTTCTAGGAAGCAAGATATGTGAAATCAGCAATTAAATGCCAGTTTGGTAAAGACTCTTTCACGGAACAATGTGCAAGCATAATAGAGATACATCACTATAGAGACTGAATTAATGTCTCCAACGGGCAAAACAAAAGCCTGCTTCTCTGTAGCACTGGTAAATTCAGCTTGCTTGGGATGTTAGATCTGTATGTTTGATCTCTACTGAATAGATGTTGAAGTTAAATCAGTCAATAGCAATCATATTCCTTGCATTACTTTGGCTATAACTTCTCTGGTGTACACAGACTTACCATAAATATACAAAAAGCTCCACAGAGACTGAAGTTTCAAGAAAAATTTCATGTAGGTGATGGAATGTGAATTATCTATAAATGTTATTGAATCCAGTACTTGACAATATATACTAGCAACTTTCCTACTTGTACCAGTCTAGATCCTGATACTGTAGGTTTTAACACCTGGCTCTTCATCAAAATCAATGGCCAAGAGCTTCTTAAAAAATTCCCAAGATTCTGGAATGTGATATGGGCATTGTTAGTTTTTAAAAGCCTTCCTAGGTAAATCTAACATGCAGCTCAGGATTGAGAGCTACTGCCACAGAGAATTCAGTCCCTTTGCTAAGGTTAATTTTTCACTATTTACTCCTTTTAAAAGAACAGGAAAAATTCCTCATCAGTACAATTTTGGAATGAGAAATAAGAAAGTGGAGAATAGTTAACTTATTTTTCTTACTAAGAACCATATTCCGAATTGACTGAGCAGCCTCTGATCATGTTTATCATCGTCCTTGTTATCAAAGTCAGCATTATCCAGGGAATGGTGGGAAGAGGAGAGGCCCAGCTGCCGCCGCCGGTTCAGCTCATATTCTCGCTGCTCAGCATGGAACTCAGCTTCTTTCAACAAGCTGCCAAAGAGAAGTGTGATTTCAAGTTAGACTGTGAAAAAACACATTCTAGATCATGACCATTCAGAGGAAGTACCTCCTGAGTACTCAGGCACCCTGGATTGCTCTTCTTTAAATTGAGTACTGTGTTACTGAGTTACTGAGTACTGTGCATCATGAGTTACTCCAGGATGCCTCATTCTATTTTCTTACTATTTTATACTCCATTCCCATTTCAAAGATGAACAAACTGAGGCACAAAGAGACTAGTTCCTCCAATCAATTAGCATCAAGCAGAATTGATCCCATCTGACTTCTGGTTCACCAACCATCCCACTGTAAGTCAATGCTTCCTCTATATCTATCATGAAACTATCCAGACAGCAAATGCATGATACAAGGAAAGATAGAGGAGCTTGTACCCAAACGGAAAAATATTCACCATCCGGTATTCAAAGACACGAAAGTGAAACGGTGAAAATTCTTTTTTCCATTTGCTAAACAAGTACCAATTTTAAAAAAACAACACTTAGTATCGGTAAGTTTTATACATGGTGTTGGCATTGTAAATCCACACACATGCTCTGAAAAGCAACTTGCTAATGTATTAAGAGCCATGTAAATATTCATACCCCTTGAACCAAGGTACCTGACATCTGGTAATCTACCTAAGAAAATAAAAAATATAGGTACAGTACTATGTACAAAAATATTTCTCAAAGAGTTACTTATAAAAGTAAAAAACTGGAAACAGTCTAAATATGTAATGATAAAGAAAAGTAAGTTATAGCTAGATGAATATTACATATCCACTAAAAATGATAAATATGGAAACTATGCAATGACATGGAGAAAAGCTAATAGTGTAATGTTATTTCAAAAAGAATTGTGGATACACTGTGATTATGGTTATAGAAATAAAACACACAGTTGAATAAAATTAGAACACAAGCAACACTGAGGATGATGATAACAGTATGGCTGAGTGTTTTTATTTCTTTTCAAACTTCCCATAATGTTCGATTTGACAAACATTTATTGCATTTCTACTATGTGTCAGCCACTGGGATAAGAGAAACAGAAAAGACTTGGCCTCTATCTTTTAAAACTTAAATTCTAATTTTTTTTTTTTTTTTGAGATGGAGTCTTGCTCTGTCCCCAGGCTGGAATGCAGTGGCACGATATCAGCTCACTGCAACCTCCGCCTCCCGCGTTCAAGTGATTCTCCTGCCTCAGCCTCTTGAGTAGCACAGGCGGGCACCACCACGCCCGGCTAATTTTTGTACTTTTAGTAGAGACAGGGTTTCACCATGTTGGTCAGGCTGGTCTCGAAATCCTGACCTCATGATCCGCCCGCCTCGGTCTCCCAAAGTGCTGGGATTACAGGCGTGAGCCACTGAGCCCGGCCATATTGGTTCTTTAATTAAAAAAAAAAAAAAAAAATCTTGTCTAGAGCCGGGCACAGTGGCTCAAACCTGTAATCCCAGCACTTTGGGAGGCCGAGGCGGGTGGATCATCTGAGGTCAGGAGTTCAAGACCAGCCTGGTCAACATGGTGAAACCCCGTATCTACTAAAAATATGAAAAATTAGCCGGGCGTGGGGACGAGCAACTGTAATCCCAGTTACTCAGAAGGCTGAGGCAGGAGAATCGCTCGAACCGGGGAGGCGGAGGTTGCAGTGAACCGAGATCACGCCACTGCACTCCAGCCTGGGCGACAGAGACAGACTCTGTCTCAAAACAAAACAAAACAAAAACAAACAAGCAAACAAAACATCTTGCCTCGATGAGTATCAGACAAAAAAGTGAGCAAGTGTAGAAGTTATTTCAATTGCCTTTTTTTTTTTTTTTTTTGGTCATGTGATAGAAGAAGAAAAACCCAGTAGCCTGCAGGACCTGTCCCTGCTGTCCCTGTCTGACTCCACAGGGTCGTGGTTTATCCCGGTATGGAATTACCTGGAGTTGTCCCACACCTGTTTCCTGTGCAGGTCATTCGCGCTTGTCGCCTGCCCCGCCTCCTAACTGGTTAATGCTGCTGTCAGTCAAGTCAGGCCTACTCATATGCTTCACTCTGATTGGCCCCTTCACTTAGTTCCCCTAACGCCCTCTCCCCAAGGCTGTTAGTGAGCTCACCAAACCTTACCACAATGACATGCTTATGTTTTTCTAGTCCCTTCATAGGTAACTTAAGGGCAGAGACTATATTTTATTCCCTCCTGCCTCCCAAGTGCCCAGCATAGTGCCTGGCACATAACTGGCATCCGTAAAAATATTCATTGAATTCATGAATTAAAATAGCATCATTACAACACTGTGGGAAGGTGAGCAGCTGGGCTAAGGGAATTTGAGGTTGCATTAAATATGCACATCTCAGTGTGCGGAGGTTAGCTCAAAGCAAGGTGGAGTTGTCAGAGGTAGCTACTAAGAAACTGCATGTTACCTGATCACGGCCTCCACGGCGCAGACCAGCTCCTCAGCACCGCATTCCCGCGTGTTGATGGGCGGAGGGGAGGTCTGATAGAGGTGAGTCTCCGCAGCGGCCCCCACTTCATTACTGTGATGATTTGAGTGGCACCTCTTGCAGTACCGAACAGGCCTGTTTCCGTGGCGACCACAGCACCCTGCTGAGAAGCAGGTGACAACTGCTCTTCTAACGTGGGAACTGCAGTTCTAGAAGCCAAGAAAGTGAAATCAATTAAAATTGACCACCGAGGTAAACTTGGCTAAGAATCAGGGGCCACTCGAAGTGACAACACATTCAAGGGTCACTGGTTTCCAAAGCGCAGGTTATTCTCCCACCAGCTAGATTTCAGTCGTAGTTAAAAAATAAAGGGAGGAGTGTTTTCTATTCCTGTGAGTGGTAGAAATGCTCTAAATGTCAGTGGCACTGTGTTGGGAAGCCCTGTGTAAAGTGACCTCGGCCATGGGGGGAGGGAGGGGGAGGATACTTTCTGGATTATTTCAAGTTAATATTCCAAGAGTTTTCAGGAGAAATATAAAGAAAAAAACAGAACCACAGATCAAGAGAGTGCAACATCACAGCACATCAGGGAAGAAAAGAAATGATGTTAACTCCCAGAATAAACTCTTTCAAAATTATTTTATGCACCTCAAAGAGTAGCTTTCCACTGCAGCTCCTCTGTCCTTGTCGCATTCAAGGACAGGTAGATGCTGCATTCAAAGACAGGGACTGCGCTATGCCAAGGTGATGGCCTCAAACCAGGCTTTCCCATGTCCACCGGCCCTCTATGAAGACCACAGGGACGTACACAGCCAGAAACCTTCATAGAGTCAGCGTTGACATCAACCGCAGGAAGGGCACCACAAATGAAGTAACGGGAATGAGAAAAGTGGTGGAGGGTAAGATATTTCCAAGTTCAGGGGTGCTACTTTCAAGCTGCCCTGGCGGGAGGCAGAGGAGTGAGGCAGCACCCACATGAAGCTATTGGAGACGTGCAAAGCCTATGAGAGATGCGACCACCACATAGTCGATGTCTCTTTCAATAGTGCTTGTGAAGATGTGAACACCCCCAAGAGGGCGTTAGACTCTAAGCCTTTATGAACTCGGAGCTTGTGAGAGGAGGGAGATAAAAGAATGAATTAATCTGTCTTCACCTAGAATTTAAAGGGAAAATATTGAGCTCAGGACAGTCTTTCTAGCCAGCATAGGATTCTCAAGGTAAGAAAACGTTTCAAGGCAAACATCAAATCCAGGGACCTATCAGGAAAATGTGGTCTCAGTAGGAAAAAAAAATGATGACAAGGGCTTGAATATAAAACCCTTTAAGAACTCAGAATTTAATATGGTACACCATAGACTCTTTTAGACAGACAAAAAAAAAAAAAAAAAGCTGGTTGCGGGGGATGGCTTCTAAGGATCTTAAGGGCATACCTCAGCTATCTCCATCATGCCCTGTCCAAAGCTCTAATCCACAGAGTCTATGAACATAATTAAATGTTGCTGTTTTATGCTGCTAAATTTTGAGCAATTTCTTATGGAGTGTCTGGATACACTGCATATGATAATATCTGGAATACCGACTAAAAGTCAACCTGGTTTATTACCACATGCCATCTATTCTAAACAACGTCAGCAATAAAATACATTTCCCCAAAAATAATCTTGAGTTGATCGAAGTTCTAAATAATTGCTAGGATTCCTACTAAGTTTTGATAATATATTTGAAAGGCCTCAACCCATGTGGATTCAGCTCGTTCATTTCCAAAGTAAACTAGAGAGGCTTCCCTTAGATGGAGATTCAGCTGGGCATGTTTTCAAATGTTCACTCCAACCACTTTGTTTCACTGTTTTGAATTTTAACCAACACATAGAAATAACTCCAAGTAGTCTCACAAAATCACAGAATTGAAATAATTAAGGTCTGTCTCTTCATCTTTCCAATCACGATGCTATCATTGCTTATTTCAAATATACCATTCAGGGAATATGCAGTACCAAAGTGGCAGAATACAAACTACCCAGGAGAAACTCAAACAATTCTGAACTGTTATGAACTTAATGGAAGTTCTCCAAATTAACGTCTAAGTAAAACACAATGTTTATTAAAGGATAAGCAATAAAAATGTGCTAATTTGAAGCTTGTTATAAAAATAACTTTGTCATATAAAAAGGGAAGTGTTAAAAAATGATCTACCCTAGGTGTCAAATATATTAGGTATGTCCCCAGAGCCAAAACATGCTGATTTAGAAAATAGAACTGTTTGGAATCCTAGTCCCTCAAGCTTATAAAAGATTCTCAAAGTAAGAATGGCCTCAGAATAAAGATCAAAGGAAGAATATGGTCTATGACTCTGAGATCCTTTGTTAAGGCTTCAGAAAGTTATAAGGTGGTGCCGAATTGAGCCTCTCAGCTATAACAGGGCTTCTAATAATTTTAAGGGCACACTGAAATGCCCAAAATACAGGAAGGACTGCCTCAAAAATAATTAAAGATGTGGCTTTCGGGGGCACAGGACCCCACTGAGATTCACTGAAAATCCACAAAGTTTTTAAGAAAGTCATACTAGCAAAAGCACCACCAGCTAAAACTAAACAGACACAGTTCTAAATGAAAAGAGGTCTATGGGACCCTAACTCCTACATGCAGGAAGCAGATTGAGAAAGTTATTCAGCTGCAACATGGACCATTACTTATTGAAAAGAAAAGATGCCTCAGAGAGTGGAGCCAAGAGCTCAGGAGGACAGTAACAGATTAGGGAACTACTTCTAGGAAACAAAACCAGATTGTAATCAAGACAAGTATGCTGTTCCTGGAGACAGAGGAACTGTTGATGTATTTGTGGCTGGAGCTGCTACAGACCAAAGACTGCTATCTGCTTTCCCTTCCTCTTTCTGAACAGAAGTCTATTGCTATGATCCTGTCCCTGTCTCAACATTGTGCCTTGGGTGCAGAGAGGGAAGATAACTTTCCTTCTTAGTTCACAGGACTCTGAATCAAGAGAATCAGTTACCAAGAAGTTTAATCAGCAACATATCACATGTAGATCACAAGATACTAGACTTTAAGTCTGAAGCCATAAATGAATAAGACTTGTGAAGGTCATATAAAATGGTGAGCATATTTTGCATATGGATAGAAGGTAAATAATTATGTCCAAAGGACAGATTGTGGTAGATTAAATGTGATCACAAAATTCTTGCCACTCCTTCAATAACCACAACGATCCTATTTCTCTACTCTTTGAATCTGGGCTGCCTTGGAACTTGCTTTGACCTGTTGAATGCTACAGAAATGATGCTGTGTGACTTCTGAGAGGCCTTGAGTGAGTAAGACTCTCTCACTCTCTGAGAAGACTGCCACCTGTGAACAAGTCCAGCCCAGCCCCTGGACGATGAGACGTCATGTGGAAAGAGAGAGGCCCAGACACCCCACCCATCTCACCATTCCAGCCATCCCAGCTGAGCCCCAGATATGGGAGTGAGACCATCTGGGGCCAGCCAATCCCAGCTTAGCCACCAACTGACTGCAAATACATGAGTAAGCCTAGAGTAATTTATCAAAAGAACTCTTAGCTGAGCTGAGCATAGGACAAATTGCCAGTCCACAGAACTGTGATTAAATAACTGGTTGCCATAGGAGACACTGTGTTTTCAGATGATTTGCTATGCATCCATAGATAACAGAGACAGCCCTCCAATATACCTACTCACAACATCCCAAAAAGTTTAAATGACGTGTGCAAGGTCCACATAGGTAGGAGGGAACAGAACCAGCCTGAGTCCAAGAATCTCAACCAACTAGTCAAAAGTTCTTTTTTATGACATCACACTGCCTCCTCTCACGCTTTTCGATTATTAAAACAAGAAGAGAAGATGGAGATGGTTTAGAGAAACTATTATTAAAAAAACTAAAGGAAATATTAAAGGAAGAATCTTTAGCTACATATATTGTTCAACTTACACATAAATAAATACTGTCCATATACAGTCAGTCTGGGTATGTTTTTCACACATACAAATTGGACTATTTGCACTCCACTTCAAAACAATCGAGATTTCTAGCATACAAGATATATCCTTAACTAAAGTTAAGTACCGTAAATTGCAGTATAATTCAAACCTTTTTCTAATTAGACTCCTATCCCAGAATTATACATAGGCTTTTATTGCAAATTACTGAACAAAAACATTGTGCATAAGATGGGTGAGCAAAAGCAGAAATGGAAATAGAGACCATTTGGATGTGGCAATCTTGCATGCTAAATTATTTCCTTTCCCCCTCCACAAACACAATGGCATGCACATACTGGAAACCATGGTGCAGAAATAAGGCAGAGGTCAATAAATGAATTTACATACAAACACAATAAATCATGCCCCAACAACACAAATGGTTTGCTCTTACCTTTTTCTGACATATAGCAGATATTTCAGCTGTAAGGGGAAGGCACACAAAATATCAACAAAGAAAGAGCCCCTCTAATTTTTATTTAATTAATTAATTTATTTTTTGAGACAGGGTCTCCCTCTGTCACTCAGGCTGGAGTGCAATGGCCCCATAATAGCCCACCACAGCCTCTTGAACTCTTTGGCTCAAGTGATCCTCCTGACTCAGCCTTCTAAGCAGCTAGGACAACAGGGGTGGCTCTCCATGTCTAGCTGATTTTTTTTTTTTTTTTTTTTTTTAGACATGGAGTCTTACTGTGTTTCTCAGGCTGTTCTTGAACTCCTGGCCACAAGCGACACTCCTGCCTTGACCTCCTTCCCAAAAGGCTAGGATTACAGGTGTGAGCCACCATGCCGGGTCTAGAGCCCATTTTAAATAAGGGCGGCCATGGAGGGGGAATTTTTTAAATCTTAGTAACACGACCTCTGGACTTGGCCCCAACAGCTTTTCGCTTGTCTCATAAATTATCATCTACTTTTATTAGCTTCTAGTTTCCTCAGAAAGCATGAAATAGATCTCTTTTCATCTAGCGGTGTGTGTTTAGTGAGGTTAAGAACACCTGCATGCTGCTACTCTTACAAGTAATTTAATCTTTTCAGACATGACTTGGAAATCAAATCTTGTTAAAGCCAAACAACTTTAATCTTATTTCCCCATTTTACAGAGGACAAAACTGAGAACCACTGTGGTTAAATTCTTCAAGGTCACACAAGCTATCAATGCTAGGGGCAGACCTTGAGTTAAAGTCTCCAAATTCCCCATTTACTGTTCTTTCCATTACACTATGACACTGGGTTGATATATTTACAGCATCACCATGGGATTATTTGCAATATTAAAACAGTAGAAAAAATTACTAACTTGACCTACTTAGATTTTAATTATCAATTTATATCATTCTTAACATGCGCATGTAAAACCAGCTGTAGGGTTAAGAGAAAGCAATTTTCAATCCCACGGGTAGACCAGTTGGAACAGGACTGTCAAACTACTGTCTACATATGGGATTGACTTTGATAAATGGATAAGAATTCTTTTTAGTGGGCACATCAATTATTTCCATGAAAACCGATGCTGGAGAGCATTTGAAAATAAATCTTCCAAGAATCGGTTAATATGTTCTCTGAAATAGTATGTACTCAAAAAATGAACTAACACCTTATTTATAGTATAGTCTATGTTACAATTTATTTAAAAGATCAAAGGCAAATGTCTCCCAAACCCTGTCTGGTAATCTTAAACTAGTGGATGAAAAAGCAATAAAATTTACAACTCACTTTTAAAAACTAGTTTTGTATAATTAATGGTTATTTGACAGTTTGATATCCCAGAGTTTATCTTGAAGCATCTGAGGTTAGAGTCACATGTCTAGATAAATAATGAAAAGTTATTGCCAATTTTCCTCTAAAGATGAATATCACTGCTCAGCGACATATTTAAAAAGGATTTTATAACTTATATTTTATAACTTGACTATGGCTTTTACCTCAGAGCAGTGGATGATCACTAATTAAGAAGCCTAATTTAAAGGAAAAAAAGTTACATTTACCCATATAAGCCCAAATCTTTTTACAGGTTTTTTTGGTGGTGGTGGTGGTTTTTTTTTTTTAAGACAAGGTCTTTCTCTGTCGCCCAGGCTGGAGTGCAGTGGCATGATCACGGCTGCAGCCTCAACTTCCTGGGCTCAAATGATCCTCCCACATCAGCCTCTCAAGTAGCTGGGACTAAAGGCACATGCCACTATGCCTGGCTAAATTGCTTTTTCTCTCCCGCCCTCCGAAATATTTTGTATGTTTTTTTGTATTTTTAGTAGAGACAGTTTCACCATGTTTTCCAGGCCAGTCTCAAACTCCTAGGCTCAAGCCATCAGCCTGCCTCCACTTCCCAAAGTACTGGGATTACAGGCATGAGCCACTGCGCCTGACCTACAGACATTTTTATGTAAATTTTCAAAATGTACCTTTGAAGAATATAGAGGCTGACATTATTGCTCCATTTTACAGAGGGGAGCACTAAATTAATTTCTCCCTTAAGGTTGAGAATCTAATATAAATAATCTAATATGAAAAGTAAGACTACGAAAAGTGTAATTATCAAGCAAAGGCCTTCAATTTTAAAAAAAATTCTTAGAATTTAGTTTGCGTAAGGTTTTCCTTTCAAATGAGCCTTTCACATGAATCCTTTTCTTTTCTTTTTTTTTTCCCCCCAAGAATCCAATGGAGTGAGGATATTTTGAGCTACTCACGTGTGAATTCATTGTTTATTCAAGGAGTGCAGCTTGATTTTTCACAATGATGAGACTTTCATGGTTCCTTCTTTTTTTTTTTTTTTTTGAGACGGAGTCTCACTCTGTCGCCCAGGCTGGAGTGCAGTGGTGCAATCTCGGCTCACTGCAACCTCTGCCTCCCAGGTTCAAGTGATTCTCCTGCCTCAGTCTCCTGAGTAGCTGGGATTACAGGCAGGTGCCACCATGCCTGGCTAATTTTTCATATTTTTAGTAGAGACGGGGTTTCACCGTGTTAGCCAGGATGGGAATCCATTTATTTTCTACATCTGAAGTCATATACCATCGAGTTCTTCCTGTGCCCCATCTCTACTTAAACTTAGTATGCCCGCAGCAATTTTCCACCTTTCATCTTTCCTCTGTGTTTGTCAGTACTTTCCCTTGTCATTTTAGCCTCCAGTGACATGGCTGGAAGAGCTGCTTCTCCCATATGTGGAGAAATGCTCTGTCTGGGACCTACCAACTTATAGGGCATAGCTTTGAGCACTCCAACAAACTACAAGAAGCCTTAAAATCTTGTCTTTCCATTGAGATGGGTTAGATATACTTTATCCCCATTTTACTGATGAGGAAACTGAGTCTCAGAGAAATTCAATGATTTCTCCCCGACGACACAGTACTAGTAATAGTAGCAGGGAAAAGGCCAATGATTCATCTCTCTCCCAGGTGGTGTTCCTTATTCTTTTTCTTCTCCTTAATCAGACCCGGCGCAGCATCTTATTACTGACAACACCTGTTACAGATACAGAAAATCCCTGAAGACATAATTTGGCAGGGCTTTAGTCTTACGGAATTCTAATTCCAATGTCTACCCTTAATTCTGGTAAGGATGATACTACTTCCCTCATTATTAAATGTGTGGGTACATTATAAGCAAGGCATTGATATTATGCCTCATATCAATGAATATTCATAGAATACAATACTTTGGCGACTGTCTTTGTAAAATAAAATAGTACAAAAGGAGATAAAGCAACTATGTCATTAGTCATGATTACTCATTATTCATCCTTTCCTAAGTAAACCGTACCTTGCGGCAGAAGAACATCAATCAGCCACTCACTGTGGTCCCTATTGAAAAAAAACAAAATTCATTTTTGAGCTTCATTGAAATATTCTCCTTCCACATGAATGTTTATAAGCTGCACACTATTGCTGAAAGGCTTTTAATAGAAAGGAAGTATAATTAAGAGCACCATCATAATAAACTCTTAAAATGTCTAATGCATTCCAGCTAAATTATAAATTATAGGCACTTCATCATATTCAGTTATCTTTAAATGATACTTTCCAGATGCTAATTAAGCCAACCAAAATACTGCATGATCTGTACAAAGCTGAGTGTGATTCTGTGAAACAAACAAGCAAAAAGAATCCATATAATTTATATGTCATGTTTGGAAACCACAGTTTTCTTTTACATCTGTTTTTCTCTGTGGCCTTTTTAACAGGGTTACTCCAAAATTGCAGCTGATTTATTAAGTGGAATTGCCTTCTTCTCATGTCACACGGAGAGAAATATTGCAACTTTTCAAAGCTGTAATGTTCCCAATGAAAGATTGCTATATGTTAAATATCAGAATAATTAACCTTTAAAAATCAGAGAGGCTAGTGAGAAACTTTAGTAATGTAACTAATTTAAGTCCAAATGATTTTTATCTTCTCATTATTGCTCTATTTCTTTTTCTTTAAGAACTCTTATACCTACCCTGCAATCCTCTCGCTGCATTCTTCACAGAGATACAACGGGGGTGGTTTATCACCCAATGCTACTGACAGGGAAGGGTCTATACACATCTGAAACACATAAAAAGACAGAATGAACTCTCCCGTTCCTGGGTATCACATTCCCTAGATTCTTAACACAAATGCTTCAATAATGACAGATTTTCCAAAAGCAAGGTGGAATAAATATTTTTAGTAAAACCCTTTTTACCAATAAATGTTTCTCCCTGCACTAGCTGATGAGTCCACCCTGAGGATTTAAATGTGGCTGCTGTGGTTTTTCATTTCTCCTGTTACTTGCAATTCAAGTAATAAATAGCGTCGAGAAATTCACTCATTCCACAAAGAACCAAAATAATCATCTTGTTCAATTGCTGCTCAAATTGGCAGTATATTACTCACTCTAATTCCTTCTGTAAAGTGGTAAACAACAGTAGTCTCTCATTAGGAAAAGGAAAATATATTTTTAAGATTTCAGAATCATAACTGATACTAAAATGCTAGTGGTAGAGAATTTTGCTTCTTAAGGTATACCTCATTCAAAAAAGGTGGCATTAAATCTAACATTGAGTGGTTCACTTCTCTTACTCTGGAATCTTAGTTCTGTATCCATCATCCAACTTTTCTTTTTCAAGTGTGGTTTTTTATTTCCTACACGTGACCTATAATTTGTTTGCCCTTGCTAGGACTGGTTGATACGGCTGGGTTTCACTAGCCTAAGCACAGAGATGCAAAGTGTTAATTTCACAGTTGATCATCAGAATATTTCAATATCTGGATCTTTTAAGTCAAATGAACAAAAAATCTAGATAACTAACTGCATTTTGTACTTTGCATGAGTTTAAATTTCTATAATTTACCAAAGCCATTTTTGAATTCTGTTCCTACCCTCAAAAAAATAATCAACTCATGAGCTAGCTGATTCAGCAGTTAAGATGCCTAATACACAAATTTTTCTGGAACTACACTCTTTTCTTAGTTGTTCTCACAAATTTGAAGGGGGGAAATCATCCAAGCTTATAACCCAAACAGTCTGTAATTCAAAGTGAAAACTCGGACATTTCAATGATTGAGGAATCTAGTTAGAATTGCTCAATTTACCATCAACATTTGTATACTATATATTGATGACAAAGGCTCAGAGTGAGAATTTTCCTCATATAAGTTTCATGCTTCTTTAGATGTAATGAGTAACTACTTGGGGGTGTGTTAAATCAGAGATTGGCAAACTTTTTTTGTAAATATTTTAGGCTTTGTGGGCCACAGTCTCTGTCACAACTACTCAATTCTGCTGTTGGAGCATGAAAGCAGCCATAGACAATATGTAAGAAAATTAACATAGCTGTGTTCTAACAAAACTTTATTTACAAAAACTGGCAGCAGGCCAGATTTAGGTCTGAGCCATCGTTTGCCAGAACCTGCCTTAGATAATTATCTGGGCTCCAAAGTATTTCATAAAGTGGACTTCAAGTAGAACCAAGTAAAACCAAAAGCAGAGTATGATATAAACTTTAAGTTCCAACATATTTTCATATTTAATTCTATTACAACTCTTGACTTTTGCCTAAAAAGTAATTTTTGCGGCCTATTACAAAGATAATACTTTTCTATTTGGTAAATCATTCTTGCTTAGCATTACAGCTTACTATCACAGAGATATTAGGCTTTTAGTGAGGATTAATCAATTTTCCCCAAATCTTTCCCATGCCCTCCATGTGGAGCTCCTCTTAAGTATTATATAAGTTATTCTACCCTCTTTTTTAGTGAGTCATTGATACCTCTCCCAGGTAAAGATACTTTTTCATTCCACTCAAAAGGAGAAGCTCCTGGGATGCTAAAACTGTAAATAATCATTAGAGATTAGCTAGTCAACCTCTGATTTCCTAAATAACTTACTTAACATGACCCATCAGATCTGTAGTTGGTCTAGTGAGTTTTGTTCTACTCTGAACAGGTTGGTTTACATCCACACTAATGTGTTCATATCTGTGTGTCACATTAATAACTGGGGGGTTTTTTGTTTATAAATATGACATATGCCCAATGTAGAGGCTTTGGAAAACCGAGAAAGGGAAACAAGAAAATTCAGTTAACACATTAACCCTCCATCTTGATGTAATCCATAGTAACATTCTGATAAGTATTACTGATTGTTTTTCACTATGAATATATGTAACTTTTAAACTTTTTTAAACTTTTAAACATCATACTATAAAATTTCCTAACTTTATGCTTAACATTATTTTGTAAGCATTTGGATGTTGGATACCCTTGATTTGCACGTCATGTGGTGATGATGTAGATTGGGTGTACTCACGTTGTAAAGGAAGAGCAATACTGAGCCAGACCTATTGTAGTGCAAAAATGGCCCCAGCACAGGAAGACTTAACAAGAATGCTATCTTTCTGCAAAGTGTAGAATGAAAATAGAAAAGGAGGGTCTTTAAGGAAACTGGAGTTCAGAAAGTAAGACTGGGGGGATACAAAAATGTCTTGGAACTAGAAAGAGGTGGTGTTGGCAAACATTGTAAATACACTAAATGCCACTGAATTATTCACTTTAAAATAGTTCATTGTATATTACGTGAATTTCGCCTCTATTTTTATAAAATGACAGAAAGTGGATGGTTTGACCTATCCTGGCTGACTCGCTTCAGGGAGAAAAGTGAGGCCAACCCAGTGGAATGGACTGGGCTGTTTGCCTAGAAAAGAAGGAGAAAATCTAATTCATAATGCTTTCAGTAAGTAGGAGGCCAGAAAGCATTACTAACCAGGATATCAGAGGACTCCTGAGAATGCAGTCTGACATAAAATCAAGGAAAAATAACTGCAGAAACGAGACAGAAAGGATCCCCTTCCTGTTGATGTCTGGGTGACCCAAAAGAAGGAGCTATATAACTTAGGCAGGAGGAAGAAAAGGATAAGAAGAAGGAAACATGAAAGTCTCATCATTGTGAAAAATCGAGCTGAACTCTATGAATAAACTATGAATTCACATGTGAGTAGCTCAAAATATCCTCCAAAGAAGAGTACCTCTGAACCCCAAATGTCTATTGAAGGTCAACAGTGGGGTACATACCATAGAATGGGAGGCACCTACACTTCCGTTGTGTGGGTTATCATTACCTGCTTCTTTTTTGGGGGGGTGTGTGACAGAGTCTCACTCTGTTGCCCAGGCTGTAGTAGAGTGGCGTGATCATGGCTCACTGCAACCTCCACCTCCCCGGTTTAAGCAATTCCTCTCCCTCAGCCTCCCAAGTAGCTGAGATTACAGGCACACACCACCACACCTGGCTACTTTTTATTGTACTTTTAGTAGAGACGGGATTTCACCATGTTGGCTAGACTGGGCTTGAACTCCTGACCTCAGGCAATCTGCCCGCCCTGGCCTCCGAAAGTGCTAGGATTACAGGCTTGAGCCACCACGCCCAGCCAATTACCTGCTCTTAATATCAACCCATTCAATTTGCCTTCAACAAAAGCAGAGATTAAAAATAATAATACAAGGCCATCCTTTGTTAGTATAATGTATCTAGATGACAATGTTATTATTGGCACTCCTCTGCCAGTTTTGGTTCATGAAACACATTTTTGGTTTCTTTTATTTTTATTGGATCTCATTTCACCTTTCCTACTTTGTTTCTATAAAGTGATGGCGTTAGTTTTCTATTAGTATATGGTTTTCTACAGGCTATCTATAAAACAAAAGAAGCAAACCCGCAAGACACCTGGTTCTCCAAAGTAACTGTGAACTCTGATAACTTCAGGTTACTCCTACCCCTAATAATATAAAAATTATACCTTGCAAATCCAGACACAGGTCCATCCAGCCAAATACTTTGTATCCAATAAATATATCATAAATAATTTTGTTAAAAGGTATGACTATTTGTCTTCACATTCAACTTTCAAGATTCAGGATTATAATAGGACAGAACCAATTTGGTGTGGTAGAAGGACAATAAGGTTAGGAGATCAGGTACCTGGTCCTGTCTCCAGTTCTGATGCTAACTGGCAACCTTAGGAAAATGACTTGACTCTGTAAGCCACTGTTTCCCTACTTTTAATGTAACTTTCCATGTCTATGCTGTCCAGACACCTTTCAGTCATTTCAGTTAAGTCATATTTGTAATATAAGCTAAAACTGAATGATTTTATCTTTTTGTCCTACTACTCCTGAATTTGCATAAGCACGCATGATTTGTAGCATACACATGAAAACAGAGAGAAAATACATTTCCCTGAGTTCATTAGCTGAAATAGAAACCAGTTAAGGACATGTAAGCATTTTACCAGGATCCTTCTGATAAATAATTAGCTCAGTGCTACATAGCACTTGGCTATGAACGCATAGCCAAAACTGCAGACAACGCCATTCATTGCTCTCTCTTGACCAGTCTGCCAAAGTACAATCAGATTGAATATGGAGGTACTTGGAATTACTACACAGCACACGCCTCTGCTTTACAGAGAAGGATGCAATCTAGTCCACTTCATTCAGCAATTTGACCACTGACAATACAGTATGGCACCAGGTCTAATAAAACAGTACCTTCACAGCTGGTTTGTTAATTGCATTGTGGCATTCAATGTGCTGGCAGTGGATGGGATTCCAAGCTGTAAAGTAAAGCACAACTGATGAATACTTCTCAGTGAAATTATTCATGCCCTAGTAAAAACAGATACTTTACTATTTTCTTTTTTCTAAATAGAACCATCATCAGAAAGCTTCCTAGCAGAATCACCTTTTTAATCTGTAAAAAATTTAAAAGACAAGCAAAGATACACAATTCCGTCCATTTTCCTAGGATAAGAGATAAGCCAATATAAGATGGCATGTACAGTACCACAATGGTATTCCATTAATAAGTTTTCAAAGGTTTTTACAACCATAGTTTCACTTGATCCTCCAACAACTCTGTAGGGTAAGTACAGCAGATTATTAATCTCATTTCGTATAAGAATAAATTAAAGTTAGCAAGGTTAAGTAGTTTGATATGGTCACAGAGTTAGTGAATGATAAGCTAGGACTAGAACCTATATCTCTTGGTGCTTGACATTCTGCTCTTTCCATGAGAGTATATTATGCTAAACATCCTAGATTGTTGGCACCAGGAAGCATTTTAAATTGATAACAACTGACATGAATAGTAAGGCATCCTCTACCATTCCATTTCCTATGCCATTCCCATCAAACATGGAGACTGGAAAGATGAGTTTCTTGCCCAAATGAAATGCATCTCTCTCTTACACGTGGCCCACCTACTAAACTTCTGCTAGTCTGCTAATACCCAATTAAACTTCTGCTAGTCTGCTAATACCCAGCTCCTAAGCTCAGTAGACACACAGAATGAGGAAAAGAACCAAGTTACCTATAATAAGTCAGATTGAGAATCACAACCAGTAGTTATCATCTGGATGATTCTGTAGCCCAAAACACTTAGCTAACAATATTCCATCATTAAAAACATGTAAGGGGTTTATATGATTGAAAGTAGGACATTTTTCTAAAGTGCCATATTTTAAACTCATAGGACTATGTTGGCCTAATCTTAATATGTGGGAATTTGCAGATGAGAAGATAGTCTTAGTTGCATATTCAATTATAATTCAAAAATGTATATTATTAATGATCCAAGCGAATTTATGTTCCAAACATTTTAGAAAATTTTCTATCTAGGAGCATCCTAGCTTCAAACTTTCTATATCATTGTTAGGCCATGTATAAGATTATGTGTCTAGTCGAGGATTCAGGGAAATATAGTTACCAGAACCAATGACATTTTAAAATATACAACAGGTCTATTTATTTGAAAAGAAGATAAGAAATACAGACCAGAGACCACTACTATAATAAGATAGTATCATTCTGATCATATTTTTAGAGAGTAACAAAGAAGAAATTAATGAGTACATGAACAGATTGATGAAGAAATAATTTGGGTATAGGCGCTTCATAACTATGAGATTAGTTTCCCATATATGGTAAAGTCAAGTTGAATATAAAGAGTTGCAGCAAGTTTTCTTGTACAATTAGAGAAACATAGAAGAAAAGGCTGCCTTTAACCAGTACATGAATTGCAAAAATATGGAACATGTGCTGCATTATTCTGATCCCAAACTCATGACAGACATCACTAATCCATTACAGCATTCCTTCCTGCTGAGTCCAGAACTGGCCTTAGGATCCTTCTTATCACTGTGCTCCAACAAGTCACCACCAATCAAAACAAAATTGGCACACAAGATAAAATCTGCTAACCATCTCCAAATCAGTGTATTATGAGAATGTTTGCAGATTGCTTTACAGAAGTTCATGACACTTATGGACAGAATTAATATTCAAAACATATAACAACTGCTATGGCACAGGCAAAACAAATTGAAGTGTGCACCAGCCACAGTACTTAGGGCTCTAAAGACTTCTATTCTGCCAGAAATAAATGCCTTTTTGTGGATAATGGAGATATCCAGGAGGAGATCTGCTTTAATTTTGCATTCCATTTTTACTGAGTGTTGCTGTGTTAAGAACAGGTTGTAGGATAATCAATTTAAGTTCATAAAAGCCACATTGGATTTAAGCTTACTAGAACAGTGATCTTAAGTTTTGCTATGTATCAAAAATCAGCTGTCAAGATTTTAAAAATATAATGTCTGGAACCCACGTTAGATATTCTGAATCAACATGTTTGAGGATAGAACACAGGTATTTCTAACTGGGGAAAGCACTACAATTGATTTTGATATAAGGACAATCAGCATACCTTATCTTGTGGGAAATATAGTCATAATAGATCACCATTCGAAAATAATAACAAAAAACATAGCACAAAAACACAGCAGACAAGAATTATCCTTTCAACTATGATACAAAAATTGGCATTAGATCTGCCTTCCCACCATGAACAACTAGAAAACTAAAAAATACATATTTGAAACACTATTTTCAGACACTGGACTCCAAGTAGTGCAGGACAGTGATCCTTGAGAGAAGAGAATGCAGTAAGCCCCACAATCACCCTGGCTTTCTTCCTGATAGTAATTTCCAGACCTTGGCCCTAGAAGGGGAAAGATAAGCAGAGTAATAAGGTCTTTTTTAGTTAAGGAGACAAAAACTGGAGTTTAGAGAGGCCAGGTGGCTGAAATTTGCTGAATAGAGTATGAAGGAAGAGGGAACTATGCAAAGAAAGAGATCCAGAAATCTAAATAGGAGTCCTTTTGAGTCTTTGGCTTTACACTAAGTAAAATGTATGTAAGGTAAAACTCCCTGAGGCTGGATAGAGAAAAACTGTGAGGGTTCTGTGAGCTAAACAATTCCTAGAGCTTGTACATGGCTGGAAGATGTTCAAGTTCCAACCAGTCAGAGTAGAGGGAAATCACTAAATACTTGGAGCAATCATAGAAACTTTAGGAGGGCCGTATCTTCGTAATAGGGCTAAACTAATATTAGAGAAAAAGTTATTCTGGGCTCACTCTAACAAAACCTAAGAATAACCCTTGAAATGGTCAGACTAATCCACAAGTAACTTGATTGCCAAAACAAACTTCAACATACTATAACGGAAGACAACAAAATTCAGACACTCAATAATGCAACAATCATGAAATCCAGCATCCAGTCAAAATTATTTGATATTTGAAAAGGAGGCAAAATGTCACTCATAACCAGGGGGAAAACAGATCAGCAGAAACAAACCTGGAAATTGCAGAGATGAAGTATTTGGCAAAGAAGAACTTTAAAATAGTTATCATAAACATAGGCAAAGGAAAGCATGAAGATAGGCATAATGAGGATAGAGATGGGAGATATAATTTAAAAATTAAATGTGACTTTAAAAATCAGAAATACAACTTGAAAAACTCACCAAATGGGCTTAATAGAAGAATAGACAATGCAGAAGAAAAGATCAGTGAATTAGGAGACATAGCAAAACTACCCAAACTGAAATATTGGAAGAAAAATAGAGATTCAGTGAACTGCGGGAAAATTTCAGGCAGTTTTACCTTACATACATTTTACTTAGTATAAAGCCAAATTTTTACGATTGCTTCAAGTATTTGCTCCAAGTTCATGAGATTTAAAGCACAAAAGAAAGAAAAGGGGGAAATATTTGAAGAGACAATGGCTAAAAATTTTCAAGTCTGATGAAAACAACCCACAAATTCAAGAAGCTCAATGAATCCTAGGCAAGACAAAAGCAAAGAAAATCACACCAAAGTTCATTATAAACAAATTAACGAAAACCAATAAGGAGAAAATCTTAAAAGCAGCCAGGAGGGAAAAAAAGACACATTACTTTCAGGGGAACAAAGATAAGAATGATCGCTGATTTCTCGTCAGAAACAATGCAAGCCAGAAGACAATGGAATGACATCTTTAATAAGCTGAAAGAAAAAAAACTGTCAACCTAGACTTGTATACCCAGTGAAAATATCCTTCAAAAATGAGTATGAAATAAAGACTATTTGAAGACAAACACAAAATAAGAGAATTCATTTCCAGCTGAGCTCCACTGCAAGAAATGTTAAAGGAAGTTTTTCGGGCTAAAGGAAAATGATACCAGATAGTAGCTCAAATTTACACAAAGGCATAAAGAGTGTTGGACATGGTAAGTATGCTGAATAACTACAGAAGGCTTTTTTACTCATATTAATATGTTGTTAAAAGATGGTTGATTATTTAAAACAAAAAAACAATAATAATGAATAGAGGCTAATAATATATATAGAAGTAAGATGTTCGGTAACAATAACAAAAAGGATGGGGGTAAAATTAAAATACAAAAGGTCTTACATTACATGTAAACTGGTATAATTTGAGGTAGATTGTGAAGTTAAAAGTGCATATTATAAACCCGAGAGCAATTTTTTAAAGGTGGTATATCTAACAATACAATACAGAAATAAAATGTAACACTAAAAATAATTCCAAAAAGGCAAGATTTCAAAAAGAAAAAAAAAGGAACAGACGGGACAAATATAAAACAATTGTAACATGATAGGCTTCAGTCATACAAGTGTATCATGATAGGCTTCAATTCATACCAGAAATTACATTAAATGCCAATGGTCTAAACAATAATTTTATTAATGTAAGTGGTCTAAAAGACAAAGATTGTCAAATAGGATTTAAGTTTTTTAAAACCTGTGACCCAATTATATGCTGCCTGTGAAAAACATATCTAAAATATAAAGACTCAGATAAGCTAGAAGTAAACAGAAAAAGTTATACCATGCAATTATGGCATAATTGTTATACCGTAATTGAAATTAAAAGAAAGCCGGAGTGTCTATATTAATATCAGAGAAATAGATTTCAGAACAAAGAATATTACCAGAAAAACCAAGGCAATTTCACAATGATGAAAGGGTCAATTAACCCAGAAAACATAAAAACCATAAATATTTGTACCCTTAGTAAGGTGAGCAAGTTGAAAGAAGCATAACTGAAGTTATAAATTTCCATAATCCTCTCTCAGTAACTGATAAAACAAGCAGACAGAAAATCAGCAAATATATAAGACTTGAAAATACTCTCAAACAACTTAACCTAATTTATAATGCTAGAAATCTCCACTCAACCACTGTGCAATATACATTGTTTTAAAGTACACATG